TGACACAACACTCCCGTGTATTCCACCTATCCATGTTGTTTGGTCGTTCTGCGTGAGTTCGCCTCAGTTCCTACGTCGTTCATTGTTTTGTCTTCAAATGAACACTATTCTCTTCGTTTGTTTCAGCTTTTGTCACTCAGAAATGCGCTCATTTATATGACGCGACAGTGCATCCCCGGCCGGATCACTTCCCCTCATACTTCCTTTGTCCGTTTGCTAGCCGATGCTTTGAACAATGTCCGGAAGCTACGCTGGTGAAAACGGAAAATATCCTATCTTGATCCTTACAAGCCAAGGCGATTCGCATCCCTTTCAGCAGCGGACCATAGTTTTGGACGATGTAATCAAAGTCGGTCGTTCAGTCGCACGAGCCAAACCCGCAGACAACAATGCTATATTTGATTGCAAAGTTCTGTCTCGTAGTCATGCACTTATTTGGCATAAATTTGGACGGGTGAGTGTTCTCTTTCTTCATCACTTTACTTTTTTTCTAGTTTTGGTTACGTGACACCAACAGTAGCAATGGGACTTTTGTCAACAACACACGTGTTCCAAAGCCAACCGAGCCGAATTCGGATCGGGAAATTTTCTCTGGTGACATCATTCGCTTCGGTGTCGATGTGGTTGAACATGAAAGTACGATATCCTTGTTTCGATCTTCAACTATTAATGATTTGACTTGCAGCTACACACGGTTGTATAATTGCTCGTGTAACACTCTTCCATGCCAATGGAGTTGAGGCAAAGCAACAGTAAGTTGTTATCTGACTTCACAGTTACTGTATTTTCCATCGATCAGCGTCGATCGAATGTCTGTTACTAACGGCTCAGTTGGTATTGAGACTTTGTACGCAGAACAAGTGTTCCGGCTGGCGCATTCCGTAGGGGTAGGTCTTTAGAGACATATAGGTCTTCTAGCCTGGTAATCACAATGTTTCAGGAGGCAATGTTTCGCGAACAGGTTCTTGAAAGAAAGTTGGAGTCCTTGAACCGTCTACTCCAGGATACGCGGAAAAGTTCCGAGGCGGGATGGCAGGTGGGTTTTCATTACATATATCAATGTGTTCTGTAGGCAATGTTGAATGAGGAGCGTTTATTGCGGAAGCTCGACCTGTATGAAAGTCAGCTGGCAATCATGAAGCAGGTTTGTTTCTTCATGTTCGCTTCTTAAATTATCCCGCAGGATTTCCCTGAAGATTCATTACAGGCACAGCTGCGTCAAGTACTTGACGAGAAGTGCAGTCTTGAAAAAGCCAGTGAACTTATGCTTGCTCGTATTTTGTGCGAGAAGACCGAAGCTCTAACTAAGGTTACGAATCTGGAGGTGGGTTCTCATTGCGTTTTTGTGTGAAGCGTACTGCTACAGGGTAGTCCTCAGTGTTCTCACCATCTTTCTTGGCTGGATAAAATTGGGAGTTTCTGTAGTGGAGGTGACTGTTTGATGCGTGGATTAGATCCGGGTCAATTAGGGTTGGTTTATGTGTACACGTGAATCGAATTCTAAGCCATGGACACGCTCTCTCTGTGTATAGCCCATGGTCTACACCAATACCACATCCCAGCCTTCATTTGTTAGTTCCTCTATTTGCTGACTGACTCAACTTTGATTGCTCCTGTTTACAGTGTCGGTTATCAGATTCAGAACGGGAGTGTGCACGCTTACGGCAGGATTGTGAAGCCACTCAGGAAGCATATCAATCAATAACTACCGAACATCAGTCCAAAATGATGGAGCTTGTACGGTTGGAGCAACAGTTACAGGTAAGTGCTGGTTTCAGGACCACTCTTCCGATGGAACAACTACTTTCTGTTGACCCGGGTTAGTTTACGTAGTGACCATTCTGAAATGGTTATTGCGTTTTTAATTGCGACAGCTAAGGCGAATTTATCCTCAAGTCCTCAGTTACACGAATCCTACTTTAAATTAGAGGTCAAGCCAGATGTGTTAACAATAACTTAATTCATAAACAGGTGGCAAGCTGATAGTGCCGCCTGTAGTGTCCACTCTAGACCATTTTCGAACAATCCCGTAGGCAATATCTGGTGCGGGTATCTTATTGTATTTCTGTCTGTCTGCCGATGTATGTTTGTGTTACGTGTTCTAACTATCATACGTATCCACCCAAACATATACCCGTCCCGATAATGTTCTACAACTACGTTTGTGTGGCGTCGACAGTGGAGCAGTTGGAAGAGACTCCAGAAGATCATTACGATACGTTCGCCTAACTTCCGAATCTGCTGGTCTGTCGGTTTCTTAAGCGATTTGTGCGCAATTTGACGGGACCCTGGGAAACAAAAGAAGTAAGTGTGGTCCGATTCCGCAAATGTGTTCCAAAACGAGACGCCGTCACTTATTGACCCGCGCCATCGGTAACTGGTGGTGATGCGAGTTCGTAGCCGGCACGCTTTTGGAGGACACCATGTGGCCAGATGACTTCGGTTGTTTTGTAGATAGTACCGAGTAAAATCAGTCTACGATCAGCATAATCGTTTGACATTGCGTGTACCTACCGAGACCAATCCATGTCTCAGATGCGCTAAGTCTTCTCACCTGTGCCTTCAAATCTCCGGCAACCACAACAATATCTAAGCTTTTAGCACGCCGCAACGTGGCGGTCAAGGCGTCATAGAACCTGTCCTTGATGACCTCAGAAGTTCAGTTGGTTGGAACGCAATCAGACACAGCAGACAGCGATCAACTTCCCACTTGTGAGACTACTTCACAGACGTTGCCAGACGAACAGCACTATCAGCGGGTATCCAGTCAAGTAAGGATTTTCCCGCATATTGACTAAGGACGATACCAACCCCTATACATTCTGCGGCAGCGGCCTCTGGATCACCAGGGGTGCGCGGCCGGAAACGAATGGAGAGTAATGGAACAGTTAGCTCAACCACTGTGGATGCATCCTTAATTCACTTTCCGTTACACAGCACATATCAATGTCAAACGAATCTAGTGTGAGCACAGGACCACTATGTTGTCCTGCTTGCTTCAGAGTGTGAACATTAAAAGAAACCAGACAGATCGGGTGTGGAGCCTTGGAGATGGACTTCGAGATTCTTGCGGATGTCAGTGTTGGTTAACGCGCCACGAAAACCGATGCAAGACAAACGGTCTTGTCAGTCCTAGCGGATGTGAAAGGATTATTAAAAGATGCAGGTCAGTGAAAGAAGAAGTAGACGGCAGAGGAAGAAAGGAGACGTCAGCGCTAGCCCGTTTTCGCTTATCCACCGTGCATTGGGCGGTTTACGGTACCACGCGACTGCCGATTTGACATGAGGTTGTTTGTAAACGTATAGTTCTAACTGCGCTAGGACACTGCCTGGGCACCGAGATGTAGAAAGGAAGACAATTATAGCGTCATCGTCCAAGGACTTTGGCTCAAAAGCCTAACCGCAAGGCAGCAGTGTTCAGCAGGAATTGCAGGTGAATTACTCTTTTTANAACTCAACTCGCCACATTATATGGAGTTTTTTTAATTATAAAGTCAAAACAGCGTGGTGGAATAGGTTGCTTTTCGTCACTCCATGGTAAGGTCTGGTCTCTTCGTGACGGACTGTGTACATGATATTGAAGTGGCTATGAATATTGCGGATTTGGGGTGGTGTTCGATAATTTTCGTGTCAAACTGGCTGTGTGATGTTCTGCTCCTCGAGTCGTTTAGGCACTTGGTGATGTCGTAGGACACAGACTGTGGGAAAATAGTTGGGAGCGATTGAGAAGTCATCGTTTTCGGACAGGTTAAGAAAACAGTCGGCAAATTTGTGGTGACAGTGTTTTCTTTTTGACATAGAGGCTTCGTCAGATGAACTGACTAGTTTACAATGGCCTTCGAGTTGGAAAGCAAAAGGATAGCTGGTCAACGAGATCTTTTTCAACTGTAGGCTAATTGAGTGTTGGTTGTCTGCGAAAGGATTTTGTTAGTTAGTTTGGGCCAGCTGCTTTTAGAACCGATAGTCTAACTGAAGGCTGCATGAGTTTGGGCTGAGTGTGTGTGTGTGTGTGTGTGTATGTGTGGGGGCTATAGTTCTACCATTTCACTTCATATGAATATCTCTTTTGAGTGTCGTTCGCACATTTTTTGGTGTATGTGGTTGAGCTGCTGCTATGGCGATCGGCTATGCGGTTGGGATTATATGAACGTTGGTCAGATTGTTTCATGTCTGTTAACACCCGCACATCGCCGTGTATTAACTCTTATCTAAGACCACTCTCCATACGCTCACCAGCTGTACACCCGCAGTTTTATTCACAATGGGGAGCTCGGTGATTTCTAAAGTCCCAACCATCAGACGCTGTGGTGTGAGTCGTGTGCACAGGACAGTGAAATATACAGGAGTGAAACAGTGTCCTCATCAGTCCGACGTCATGGGTCAGTGCGTTACCATGTTCAAATATTGACTTTTCTGAGATAAATAGAACTAGAAACTAGAACTAGAAACTAGATAAATAAATAGAACTAGATAAATAGAACTAAATTATCGGTGGACGTCTTGATTTGAGAGTCCATCGTGATTTACCCATCCGTACACCCCACAGATGGCATTCCAAACCACTAAAAACCATTGACTTCGGCTGGTGCGAACTCCCAAGGCTCCCATGCTGTGCCAATAGCAGACAGTCCGGATTGCTGTTTTGGTCACCATCTTCCTTTGTGGTCGTTCTAACCCGACATTTGCCTCGACTTTCCCTGTCTTGGCTTGAGCAACCTGGCCGTATCCCAGCCCTCGTGCTTCCTTTGGGTGGCATGGCAGCTTGGCACCGAAATGTTGTTACCGCTATGCGATTATATTAAATCAATCGTTACTTGAGGATTAAGTTGTTATTACCCCCCTCAGTATTACCAACAATTAGATGTCCTCAAAAGTTATAATACTGTCTTGTTTGATGACACACGTGTTCACTTGCTCTGTGGATAAGCTGGGAACACGGGGACTAAAATTCGAATTTCACTAGAACTGAAAAGTCGTGACAACACAAGCTTAATTGGCTAAAGTGCCCTCGTTCCACTTCCGGTGGAGTTTCTGATGAGTATTGGTTAGTGGGTGCGGTCTGGTCACTTGCTTAGTGAAGGAGAGGCTCCAGAATTTTACTGAGGGCCAAAAAAGACAACAGCTTTATGACTAACAAAGGAGAGCGAAATTTTAGGGAGGATCGCGATAATAAAGACGCATTATTGACCTTGGTTGAAGATTTTCCGATCGGCGTTGAGTGATTGGTTGGCATCGTATCTGGGACATGCTTGAACACTAGAACTTCGTTAATCATCGCTCATTCACTGCTTGAAAAACCGGTCGGCAACTGACTTTTCTGGCTTGGATACTCGTCGACTTTTTTGAAGTAATTCTGACGGAGTTATCGATTTTGATTTTGACAGGTAGAAAAGAGCCCTTATATAACGGTTGGACGCTGCTCCAACAACTAACTCACCAGCTTTGAAATGACTGGAAATTATAACTTGTTTCACTCAGTCTACATACCCTACATCAGGCCTCGATCAGATCAATTATTGGTGAACGTCCTCTGCCGATGAGTAGGTTTATCACATCGAGACGAGGCCGGTACATAACTGTCCACCACTAACATGTAATCGCGCCCCATTTTCGTCCCTTCGTCAGTCACCCAGTCCTGCAGTTGACGCGTTGCGCTCCTAGAAATACTAGTGTTGGTGGCTGATCAAGTGGAACAGTGCGTGCACTAGTGATGTCACCTCGATTGGTGTCGAAAGGGTTGGAAGCTAACAGCCAAGCTCGGCGAACATTTCAACGGCTACCTGATCAGTCACCAATGAATGCACCCGAGCTATACATATTCCGGTACATTTCCAAAGCTAGTGTTCCTGCCTCCATTGTAAAACCTTTGTTGCCTTCAAGCTAAAAGCAATCTTTTGTAGATTTGGCCATGACCTCACAGCGAAATATGGAAGTCCTCACCAGAAAACTCAGGCGCTGGAAATTGTCTTTCACAATGGGACGACCTTTATCAATGATGATAGTGACTGACAGACATAGTCCAGTAACTTGTCGATGACATTTCTATTTCTAGGCTGCTGGCTTCATTGCATAATTTAACTGTTCCGCTGACTCTAAAACCATGCCCCAACTTAGACGCTGCCATAACGAGTCTCATTTCTTTGTTGGACGTCATCATCCTTAAAGCACACTCATCCGGTTTCAATGCTTCATTCATTTTGAAAACTGTCGCGACTGGAACCACTGTCTGTAGACGATAATGATCCTGCATCCATGGTGGTGTGGTAGTTCGTTTTGGTGTATACGTATAACAGTGTCCGACGTCCAAGTAGACAACCCCAGTATTGCTGATAAAAAGTTCATGCTAGGATCTTAGATTGGAACAGATTTCGATGTTAAGTGGCGAAAGGTTATGTCCCTAGTTGGCTCATTTGAGTTCCTTTTCGTTGGACTTTGCTTTGTTGCATGTATTGCTTACAGTTTTTCTGTTTATGTGCTTTCGATCATCAAACTCCCACTTACTTTCTGTGTCATACTGCCGTACTCATATCTGGGACCGGTTTGGTTTGCAGGACATTCAAACTGAGAAGGAGAATCTTGAAGCACTGCTCCGTGAGCGAACAAAAGAAGCTGAAGTTTTGCAAGAAAACCTGGCTAAAAAAACTAAAGTATCGAAACCATCCAGCAACCTCTTCCTTGGTGAATCGGATAAGGGTAAGCAAACGTACTAATGCATTTGTCTTTTTCCGCTATTCAAGCACTTTTGGTTTGATACCATCATGCATTTTTGCGTTTGGAGGACAGGGTGAACTGTTATAATTCGGTTGCACCTATTGTCATCAGGGTCTCCTGCTAGTCGAGTTAACCCCTTCATTCGAAAACTGAAAGAGACGGGAAAATTTAGGCATTCAAGCTCCGATACTCCCTAACGGACCATTGGCTAGCAAATATTGATGAAAATTGCAAAATATACCAATTATCAGAGTAATTTGGTTTATATGAGAGACTCAGCTGGATTCTACTGATTCTCTCGTTTATAATGATCTTCGACTGAATGTGTTGCGCGAAGCGTTTTTGTTTCAATTGCTACGATATTCGACATATTGCAGTGTATTTTCTTGACGGATGGCTGCTGAAAAGTATTCGACAGCACTGGAGAGGTTTTATCCTTCTCGGGACTCACGTGGTAGGTGTAGTCGCCGAGTTTCTGGTGCAAGCTGACGAACACTGGCATGGTAATTGATTTCTGTTTCACCATAGCGGATCAGAATTTTTATAGGCTAAGCTTAGCTCTGCTAACCTTCCCCAATCTGATTAGGATAACTGAAGACTGAAAAATGCGAATGTTGGTAATTCAGGCTAGGCGCATCCGAATTGGAACCTTGACTGTTTTTCAGCGACATAAATGACTGCACAATGCAAGCCAATCCTTCAATTTTGTTCGATTACAGTGCCTTGGTAGCTGGCCGATTCGCCGTTGGCCTTACAATGTGTTTTTTACATGATGATAACTCTGAGTACGACCGATTAAAGGGGTATGAAATGGCGAACGCTATTTAACGGAAGATTCACACTGTCCTATTCATTAAGCCCCTATTAGCATGTCATTTATTGCCCGTTGTGCGGGAATTATACTCCCAAGAGATCACAAAATGATAATAGAAGACATAAGAAATCTCTTGTAGAATTAAATATTTGGTTTAAGGGTCGTCGCGAAAAATCTGGAGATTCGTTCACCCCCCTCACATGCGAGGAATTTTTCTGCCAGCTTCCACCGATGGCGCCATTGCGGAAACCATTGTAAATCGTACAGGCAGTCGATATTTTTGCTTCACAAATATCACATCCGGCACCACAAACTGCAGTGCTCTGATCGCATGATCCTTACACCCAGTGTCTGGCTACTGTTAGGAGTTCATTCGCAAACGTGCAGCAGCGCGAACCAAGCGCTGAGCAAAGCATGGCTTAGGGGCTGGGAGTGACGGTGATTGCAGAGATTCTGGATGCTGTCAGAATGACCAGATTTTTTGAACGTTGTCTGCTTCTCACTGTCGTCTTAAAACGTTAAAGCGTTGAGGCACTGCGCTGTCAGCCCCCATTCCGATCATCTATCTAATTTCTTAAGGTATAGGCACCCTGGATCACAGTAAATAGGAAACACCCGGAAAAACTCGGCCACACTGCGTCTATCATTTTTATTATGACCCGTAGCGTGGGCGTCATTGTGATTGGTCAGGTTATTGGTAGACCCTTTTCAGACTATTGACCACGGGGACCGTTGTTCGTAAATTCTGATATGCCTATCGTTCTTTACGGTCCATTCACATAGTACCGCTAGTGTTTCCAGATGTGTCTACCAACTGCAGTATATTTTCGTTCCGAGAAGCGGTTAGAATGTAAAGGATTTTGCGGTCGGGATTGTAATCTCACTGTTTTCGGAGAAATCTTAAGGCAACTGGCATTATGATGACCGAAGGATGTGCAATGTTCAGGGTTTACTGCTCATCATCACCACTCACAGTAATACACCAGTAATACTGGCGCTTAACTGCCATACTGATGAGTCCTCTTGGTGTCATATTGGGTTATCACATTCGGATGGGGATCTTGAATCTTCCTCAGCTGACTCTGATAGTTTGGGGATCAAATTGCTTCCTGGGTGTTCGCGCGGAGACATTGAAAACGCTTCAAAATAGTTTAAATAGCTCCGCTGTACTGTCCAATGTGCACTCTTCACTTGGAAACTGTAAATTGCTACTGCAGGATCGTGTGCGATTGAATACGAACTTGCTGTTTGTGGTTAAATTAATTGATGTGGCGGAAGAATTCATATGTCTGAGTAACTGCGTGGCTCCCAGCGGACTAGAGACTACAGCTAAGGAGGTCTAGGACGAGAGCTGCCAAAGGCTGGTGCGATGCATGCCGTTCACCGGCATTCCATCAGGACGGGTGTCAGGGGTAGAGGTTACAGTACTGCTCTAGAACCGTTTCCTTCGTATTCATATGAAATATTTCCAGTATCACTTTTTGACTATTACTTTCCTGCAACCTCACCACAGAAACTAATTTCGCACTCAATGGCATAGATAATGGACCTTTTGAAAACCCGGAGCACATTGGTGGTAAGTTCACTTATCGTGGAAGCATGATTCCATGGTTCAGCTTGCAGCTACTTTATTTAAATGCTTTTTCATCCTTAAGGTTGCTTTTCGTTTATTGGTGCTTATCGCTTTAAAACTAAGTCTTTTCGTTCTGTCATACCTTAGACCCTTCCACAAACGGTTTTGTTTACAAAATCGGAGCTGATGCAAATCTTCAATTGGCGTGTTCCCCTTACACTGGAGACTTTTACCATTGCATCCGTTTAACGCGTCTGGTTTACTGCTAACCCTAATTTTCAGATCGGTTGTCGTCTATTAACAGACAAGTTCGCGAACTTCGAGGTTGGTAGTTGTTCGTCTTCCGTGTTCTCATCGGTTTTAATGTATTCCATCATTGCGCCGGTTTGGCTGTTCCTGTCGCCTTCGCATGGGACTACAAAATCACCTGTCCATCGCAATAATATCATCATTTGGTCAAACCTTTACTTTCAAGGAGCCTTGTTTCAATATCATTTTGTTTACTTTTTTGGCACGCTGCTCTCAGTTCTTTTGTGGAAGCAGTTTGATTTTGTGCATTTTTTAATCCGGTTCGTGCGAACCTTATTTCGTAGTGCATTCTAATTCGAGTGCAGATGTTCGCCCTGTGTGAACTCGTTTCAGCAAACCTCTTCAACACACATCAGTGGTTATCCGACATGGGGAATCTACTGATGCCCTTCACTTTCGCCACCGAATGTGACGAGAGTGATTCTTAGAAGGCAATAGGAAATGTTTGCTTTCATTCTGGATTGATGTGGTGCAGCGCTTGTCTTATCGTCTGATTGACAAACTGCGAGATAAATTCATGTTTGAAGCTGTCAAAATTTTTCACGGGGGCCCTAAACAACAAACACCGCTATATGCAAGACGTCTGCAAGAGACACTTATTCGGCAAGAAAGAAGCGTTGTGCCTCCCCAATGGTATCTTAATGTTCATGTGAAGTGGGGATCTCATACTGGCTCATGATCAACGGGGGATCCCTGGAAGTGTATTCGCTCCGGAATCATACTGTCACGATATCCTTCAGTCGTTGCTTTGATTACGTCTGTGTTGTGCTGGTAGCGCCACGTCTTTTTCCTAATTTGGAAGCGGGGTACGAAATACCGTTAGCCTAATGTACCTAACACGCCTCTTTCAAGTTCATGTAGTGCTGCTGCATCCGAAGAATAATGTTCATCCCTGTTTCGGTCATGTAGGTTGTAACAGTTGCACAGTAGATCACTCTAGAAAAGATTACTGTATTCTCTTCATTTCTGTGTAGCCTGTTACACCTGTGTTATATCTGCTGATTCCCCAATCCGTTGTATCTGACTACTGACCCGCTCCAGCGCCTAATGCCGGAAAAAGACTCACAAGGAACGCAACAGCTATATTCCGAACAAGCGGGTGCGAGAGCGTGAGTGCGTGCGAGTACGAGAATATAACGGCCTCAAGCTATTCATTGGAGGGACACTCTAACTTGGTCCAATGCTGACGCACGCGGTCTGGCTTTGGTACGAGGCGGCGACGCGCTGCGTATTCCGGGGGCGTTGTCTATCTGGTCAACGTCTAGCGGAACTGACGTTCAGTGATTGCTTTCAGGAATCTGACCTTCCTGATAACCTGAGGGTCCGTTTGGCTGTCAAGTTGATTAGTTGATTAGTTGACTTTTAAGGCTTCAAGGTCCTATCATTACTGGAGTTTGAAACACTCAGTGAAGCAAGAAGGCTGAATCGCTGTTGTGTGGGATCGATAACTTCTGAACCTTTCCTTATTGCCTTCTGCCGTCCAATCCGGCAAATGAAACAAATTGTAGGGATCAACCGTGGTTAGTGGATTTTCTTTATCCGTTGGCTTTTGGTCCTAGTAAATTAGGTGGGGTCACTGCACTAGAGACGTAGCTAGAGTTGTTTGCTCAGATTTACGGCGAGTCGGTCTGTACGAAATGTTTCTTTCTGCTCGATGTTGAAATGCTTTTAACTGAAGCCGGCAGTGGCTTTCAAACAGTCCTAATCGCATGCAGCTACCTTGTGGCTGAATTCGAGATGTTTGCCCGTACGTGCTATTGTATTTATGTCATGCTCACCTCATCGACAATATATCGGTGTCATCCTTCATACTGCACATTTACGTTTGTTGGTGCACTGCGGTATGAGCATATTCGGACAAACTTCATAACTGAACCTTACTTAGACTTTGAGACTGTTTGTCCTCAACTATTCGAGGTAGTAATAGGATTCTTGACAGAAAATTCCGGTGTTGTGAATGCACTCCTGTTTTCCACCCAACACTCATCCTTATGCCAGTGAGTGAAGACTTAAGTCATTTTGTGTTGACCTCTTATTAGCTGATAAACCCGTTTTTTCCTCAAGTCGGTCTGTTTGAGGTGGAGTGGGTGCATATGTTACCTTTTCGGTTCCATCGATCCGTGTCTTAGATTGTTCGGGAAATAAATTGTAGAGTGGTAGTTATGGTTTGACATTTTTGAACAATCTATTGTATCGATAGAAACCAATTTTAGCATGGTTGGGTTGAACACACTTTCGCTGGCTTCTCGTGCAACTTCCGTAGAATAGTTTAATACCAACAGAGGCAATTTCGCGGGATAAGCGCAAAACACTGATCCCCTAGGTTTTTTTTAATCTCCAGCGAAAGCTGTATTGTAACTGTAGAACAGCATTGACGAGTGTCTCCTAGCTGAAACGGAAGTTCAGTGGTCTTCGCTAGGGTATAAACTGTTTCCAATATGGGATCTTGGCTAAGTTCTCTTTAGTTCTACGCTTCTGCCCCCCCCCGTATTTCCGGTTCTCTTTTTTCACCTATTTCTTTGAAGTTTTGATCCGCTGAGAGTCACCCTTGAATTAATGGTTGCGAGTATCGATGTGAATAAATGCGACTTATGGAAACGATAACGTGATGCTCTACCGTAAGTAAATGCTCCGTACATTTTGGACAATCTGGTTACTAGCTTCAAGTTGGTGCCGAAAACCTCAGCTATAATTTTGTCTTTACAATACCTAAACGCTATTGTGTAAACATTCAAAACCTAAGTAAATAACGCTTGTACAGATCACTTGTCAGGGTTCCTAAACGCCTGGAAACTCATGCTCGGATACTTAATCACTCCTCTGCAAACTGTCATCACTGAACCCACGTGGCTTACAAAGCACGGGGATATTCTCAAAATCGGCTTTCAAAATAATACCCGTTCTGTTCCTACGCTCTTAATAGCGGTGCCCACATGCACGTTTACTAAATTTTGGGACTGAACGGTCCAGAATTGCCACATCAGTTTTGTTTTCCGTCAATATATGTCAATGGTCGGAAACGGAAAATGATGGCAATTTTCCCATAAAACTATGCCTTTCCCTGACCTCATCATCAACTATACAAACTGCGCACTTACCGTACAGTGCCATTATTTGGGTAGACGGGGTAGGAAGCCACTCATTGAGGGCGCCAGTTATATAATTGATGTGTAAGTACGGAGTTGTCAGTCGACTTTTCAGTGAGGAGATCAGGAGTGGATCTATGCATTAAAGGCAACAGTTTGGATTCATGGGCGCCATTAGTGGTGACTGGACCATGTCTGACGATGTCACTTCGTTAGGAGAGTCATCAGGGACTCGCCACCATCTTCGAACAGGACTGCGTGCAGACCGTCCGGTCCTAGTGTCTTCTCACATTTCGGTACGAATAATTTGTACTTTACCTCTTCTTCCGACAAGCGAATAAGCTTTCCATTGCATGTACCCGTATGTAATGTCTCCATACGCTGATTTGCAGGGGGCTAGCTGCAATGTTCCTCGAAGTATTCGGCTCATCTTTCCAGTAGGCGTTTTTTTTTAGTGAAGTAATGAGCCGCCTTTATCACTTATCGTTTCACTGACCGTTGCTTTTTAGTAGCTGGTCGATCGTTACAGTTGATACAGAGCACAGTCATTTTCGCCAGCAAAATCCCTCTCCATCTCTTGGCTTTTGATGCCCACCTGAGGTCTCGGTCTTTCCTTAGGTTTTCCACTAGTTAGCGTTTCAGGGAAATTTGCTTAGCCCTAGTACTCATTGCCCACTGGTGTGTTTCCTGGCATGATTGGTGATCTCGACAATATCCAATGATCTTGTGGTCGAATCGGAGAAGTCGGCATACAGCACTAGAGGGCGCTGACATAGTTCCTTTCACATTTTGCCATGCTTCACCCACGTACTCACTACCAGGACAGTATTGGTTTACTGAAGAGTGTTGTTTAGCTATGGCAGATGGATTCTTTTGAGCTATTGTTGTTCTTCGAAGATGGTGGTTTGGTACGCGCCACCGAGCGTGCAACTGGGTCATGTGAGACTGTCTCCATCCATTTACGTTGCGTCTCGGTGTTGCACTAGCTCAAATGGATACTGCTAAGATCTGGTTCGCTGAAGATATTAAATTGGCATGCTTGCTGAACTGCGAGTTCCTGAAGGCAAACCGTGGCTTGCACAGTAGCGCAATCGATTTCGACGCCTACATCTCGAATTCTGCCCAGGTTTGTGTAATCTGGCAGTACTCTATCCCTCGTGCTTCCTTCGGTAACACGGCAGCTAGGCGCCGGTTAGGTGTTACAGCTGAACGGTTAGCTATATCGTATTGCGCGATCGGGTCACACAGCATGCCCTAGAAAGAACAGCAGTGTTGAATCAAGCTTCTGTACCGGTGGCTGATTACTGCGTGATCCAGCTGGGTCCACGGTTGATTTGCCGTTTGTGGCAGCAAGATTACGCGATGGAAATGTTTGTGCTGAAAGCAGTTCTAGCTTGTCTTTTGACGAGGATCGTCTCTGAATGAACCACCCTGGGGTGATTCCAAGGAGCTCAGATGGCGGACTTCGGCATTCATATCGCCCGACATTGTCAGTACCTCTTGCCTGGTAAATGAGCTCGGAAATCTCTCGATAGGAAGTATCCTCCGCGTCAGAACTGCAGTCCGTTGGGTCGTATATATAAACAAGCACCGTTTTTTATATGGAGA